GAGGCCAGCCTGGTCTACAAGAGCTAGTTCCAGGACAGGCACCAAAGCTACAGAGAAACCCTGTCTCGGGGAAAAAAAAAAAAAAAAAAGCTTACTGAGGACCATCCCAGTTAAACTAAAGGAGAAGATGAAATTCTTGAACAGTTTGGATGAGAAGCAGAGAGGCTGGCCTGCCCACCAGACTCCAAGGACCTGGAAGCTGAGGCTCATTCTTAGCTTGCCTGGGGAGGAGGCGGGGTCAGTTTCCCTGGTGCTAATAAACTAACACTCCAGCCAGCTAAGGTGGCCTGCAACGCAAGGCTCCCAGGAGAGACAGTAAGTATTTTGAATCTTAGTTCTTTTTTAATGGTTAATCCTACTTAACTCAAGTATGTACTACTGACTATTTTCTAAGTCAAGGTACTTAGAAGGATTGGGGTTCAGATTTATTTGATCAAATTCATAAACATTCATGCAAAGCGAAGTCTACTAAATTTTAGAAGTTAGGTTAGTGAATTCAGGTCAATTTGCATACCAAAAGACTGGGTGAGTTTAAAGCATCCAATTCGGTGGGTGTTAGGATTTCAGAGCCAGGAAACCATTGCTGCCGCAGTCTGATTTTCAAGGGTGATGCCCAGGTTTCTGGTCCCCAAATGAATTCATGGATTCTGATGCAAATTACATGAGGGTTTTAATATACAAACTCGAGTTTCGACCACACCTCCAGCACACCAACATAGTGAGTGAGGGAAGAGCAGCCCGAGTCCAGGGAAGGGAAGAACTTTTAAAGGGGAAACAGCGTTATCAGGGGACTCATGTCCTGTCTTGGGATTGGGTAAGGAAGGCATAGGATAAGGGAGAGCCTGAAACCACTGGTCAGATTTTGGGTACAAAAACCCGAACAAAGGGCCATTAATAACATCTTCAAGGGCAGGATGCCTCCTAGGAACATCTGGACCCCATTAAATTTTATGACCCTGCTCCCTGACTTTTTAATTGGCTACTTTCAGGGTATCTGTTCAAATTCCTGCTATCGCTGCATATTTCTGGGGCTGAGATCAGCCCCCACTCATTATATGACTTAAGATGAAGCCCCTTCTTTAAATCCGAGTTTGCAAAGTAGGGCCCTCACACAAGGAGTCCGCCACCCTACCCCCACATGAAATCCTGTGCTTTGCTGGCACTCACTGCTCACACCCACCTACCCCGAACTGGTCCTAGGCTGCTATTGATTTACAGTTGACTCCAGAGATTTGCCAGCGCCCATGGAAGCATTTTATTTTTTAATTTTAGTTAATTTTGTATATATGTATGTCTGTGTATTTGTGCACGTGTGTGAAGCAAAGGGCAGCGCTGGGTGTCTTCCTCTCCACATGATCCTTTTGCTCCGGGGTCTTCACTGAACTTCTGGTCATCTGTTCTTATTCACAGGCAGGAAGCAGAGAAGGGCTGAGGAGCAGGATGTGCATCCACCTTTGATGTAAACTCACTGCCCCAGTTGAGCGAACCAGACACCTGAAAATCTGCTAGCTAGGGACTCACAGACCAACAGCCTCAGCAGGGAGCCCGGAGCTCTCTGTGAGCATCTTTTTTTGTGTCCGGCCATCACCAGTTTTCTTTACCATCACCTTTAAACCACAGGGTAAGTGACAGCAGAGTGGACAAGGCTGGTGACATTTTAATAATAAAATAAAAACAGTTTTCCCTTCATAAGTCCCCTAAACTAAAAATCAGTGGCCCCTAGGGGATTGTAGATTACAGTGTGAGCACAGGTGTTTCATGGCAAAGGATTTTGTGTGTGTGCATGTCTGTGTGAGTGTGAGGGAGGAGATCTGTGTGTGTGTGTGTGGATGTGTGGATATGTGTGAGGAAAGATGTGTGTGGATGTGTGCATGTGTATGAGTGTGTGGGAGGAGAGCTGTGTGTGCATGTGTGGATATGTGTGAGTGTGTGGGAGGAGAGCTGTGTGTGTATGTGTGGATATGTGTGAGTGTGTGGGAGGAGAGCTGTGTGTACATGTGTGGATATGTATGAGTGTGTGGGAGGAGAGCTGTGTTGTTTGCATGTGTGGGGCGTGTATGAGTGTGTGGGAGGTGAGCTGTGTGTATGTGCACGTGAGCATGTGGGAGGAGAGGTGTGCGTGGTGTGTGCTTGTGTGTGTAGAGTTCAGAGGACAACTTTGGGTCCTGGTTCTCACATCCTCCCGTCTTCTGTTTGAGATAGGGTCTCTCATTGACTGGAACATCACCACATAGTTCAGACCACCTGAGAATGGAGCCTTGGAGACCCTCCTAATTCTTCTTCCCATGCTGGGATCACAATCATGAGCCACCATGCCCAGCTTTTTATGTGGGTGCTGGGGACCTGAACTTAGGTTCTCATTCTTGAGAGCCTCTCCCCAGACACCTCAGGGTATACCCTTCATACCTGTTTTTAGCTGTTTTATTTGTGTGTTGGCAAGCTGTACTCCTCGTGTGGTGCGGCAATAGCTTTTACTTTCTGTGGAACACTTATGCTGGATCCAGTCATCCAGTCCAAATTATTTATGCATATTGTCGCTGTCCCCATAGCATTTCTGGATGCTTCCACACTAGAAAGACAAGATGCAGACCTCCACAACTGTTGCAGGATATTATTTTAACGTGTGTTACTTTCGTTTATGCTGCATTTGTTAAACTCTGTGAAGCTGTGATTCTTTGTCTGTTTAAAACACCTGACGCTCTAATAAAGAACTGAATGACCAATAGCAAGGCAGAAGAAGAAGGTGAGGGGGGCTGGCAGGCAAAGAACTGAGGAAGAAGAGGAGCCATGAGAACAAGGGGAGAGGACATCAGGGGCCAGCCACCCAGCTACACAGCAAGTCACAAGAAAGAATTAAAGAAAGGCACACAGGAATAGAGAAAGATAAAAGCCCAGAAGCAAAAGGTAGATGGGTTAATTTGAGAAAAGCTGGCAAGAAACAAGCCAAGCTAAGGCTGGCTTGACTAAGAATAAGCCTCTGTGTGTAACTTATTTGGGAGCTCAGAGGTGGGACCCTCAAAAAGCCAAAAGAGTAAAACATCACATAACACACAACCAACTCAAGGTAGCATAAAACTGAGAGAGCTCTGAAGTAGGAGTAGGAAGTCACCCTGGAAGATGGGTGGAGCGCACACTGTAAAGTGCCAGAGATAATTCTGGGTACAGTGGAGGCCATCAGTAGTTTTGGGGTTACAGAATGGTGGATCTTATCCACAGTTGCTGCTGTCCACTGTTACTAAGAGTTAGGTACCCACACAGCAGAACACACAACACACACACACACACACACACACACACACAAGTTTATATATGCAAATCCACAAAACAGGAAAGCAGAAACCTGTTTCTGAGGCAGAAATCCAGGGAGCCCTTGCTAGGGGGGAATGGCTGTATGGGATCCCTTAAATGGCCTGTATCTCAGGCAGATTCTGACATGGAATTGTCGAAAATGTCAGACATGACAAAGCTCCATCAGGCCGTGGCAGCAGGCGACTACAATTCAGTGAAGAAGATTTTGAAGAAAGGTCTCTGTGACCCAAACTACAAGGATGTGGACTGGAGTGACAGGACGCCACTCCACTGGGCGGCGATCAGAGGTGAGTAGACAGTGCCTCTGCAGACCCTTTCCTCCTAGTTCACCCTCACGAGGCGCTCAGTCTGTGTCAGAGGGTAAGGCGTACATTTCTTTAGTGCTAGATGGAGCAGTCCGACCCTGGCATTAACCCGTAGTAGTGAAAGCACCTGGATCCTGTTATTTAGTGTTGGGGGGAACTCATTTTTCTATATTATGGGGGCAGTAAGGCTGTACTGGAGTTCTTTGATGTGGAGTTAGTTAACGTGTACCATGATGAGACTGTAAATATGCTCTCAATTAGTCCTCTGTCATCATGACTTCATGAATGGAGTGTCATGAAGATCGATCCATCCCCACTCCCTCCCAGCACATCCCAGTTATACGACAGGAAGTTAGTGACAAAGCTTGGTCTTTGCAAATTGGGGCTGGACAGATGGCTCAGCAGTTAGGAGTGTTCGCTGCTCTTGTAAGGACCAAGTTTGCTTCCTAGCACCCACACCCGCCTCGAACTCCAACTGCAGGAGAACCAACAGCTTCTGCCTTTAGGGAGCCTACACACATGTGCATGAGAACAAGGACATACAAGCACACACATAAATTCAAATAAACTAAATTCTTTTACGAAAAGTCTTTAGTGTCGGGCAGTGGTGGTGCACACCTTTAATCCCAGCACTTGGGAGGCAGAGACAAGTGGATCTCTGAGTTCAAAGCCAGTCTGATCTACAGAGTGAGTTCCAGGACAGACTCCAAAGCTACACAGAGAAACCCTGTCTCGACCCTTTCCCCCCCCCCAAAAGGAAAGTCTTTAGAAATAAACATCACAAAATGATGTTAAGCAAAGCAGTACTATAGGCAACTTTGGTTCCAATTATTTGCCTTTCTTGTGGGGAGGGGGAATAGGCAGAAAGTAAGACCAACTGCAAACAACTTTGCAAAAAATCTATGTAGGGAGCATTGGTAACGATACCAGTTGACCACTGAGGGAACACCTGTGTGCTGGGCATTGTGCTGGGTGTTTCACGTCTGGGAATTTGTTTGTCCTCCTCAAGGATTCAGTGAGATTAATGGTACAGTCCTGATCTGCAAATGAAGGCACTGAGCATTGGTTTTCTTATCCAAGGTTTTACTTATTAGTGAATCTGTCTGATTAGAAAACCTGTGTTCTTGAACTGTGTCGGCTGTATTCTAAAGGTGCTCAAATTACTAATTGTAATGAATTTTGCTAGTATGTGTTTGTACATGATGTGTATAGGTAGGGGTGTGTGTGGATATGGGTGTGTGAGATGGTGTGGAGGTCATATGGAGGTTAGAGGACAATTTTCAGGAGTTGCTTTTCTTCAACATTATATAACCTCTGGCTCAGGTCATCAGGTTTGAATGATAAGCTATCTCATTAACACAAGTCTTAACGTATTTTTTATTTAAAAAATTAAATTAATTTCTTTTTAATGCTTAATAATATTTTTTATTATTTAACTATATTTTGATCATATTATTCCTCTTCCCCAAGTCCTGCCATATCTTTCCTCCTTCCTCCTCTAATCCCAGCTCTTGGGTGGCAAAGGCAAACTAATCTGAGTTAAAGGTCTGTAGAGAGAGTTCTAGGACAGCCAGGGCTACACAGAGAAACCCTGTCTCGAAAAACCAAACAAACAAAACCAATACAACAATAATTCCCAAAACCAAGAAAGCAAATACAACCACACCCAAAAAGAAAAATTAAGAACAACAAACTGTAAACAAATAAAAGTATACGTGTGCGTGCATGCACGCACGCGTGTGCACATGCACATACATACACTTATGGAGTCCATTATATGTTGGTCAACTACTGAATACAAAGCCTGTCCTGGAGTGGTTGATATACCCAGCATCATTCTTTTGGAGAAAACAGACTTTTCTCTTCCCCATAGTATACCTTATTAATTTGTGACACTTATTAACTTTTTTTCTAGATCCCTGGGCTATCTACTCTCAGGTTCTTGGGCACCCAGGCAGTGTCTGGTTTGGGCTCATTCTCATGGTGTGGGCTTTAAGTCAAATCAGATATTGGTTGGTTACTCCCACAAGCTTTGTGCCACCGTTGCCTTAGCTTATCTTTCAGACAGGACACCATTGTAGATCACGGGTTTGTGGCTGCCTTGGTGTTCGGGTCTCTCTTTTGAGAACATGTAGAACACCTTCCTGTACCAAAGGACATAGGGATGAAGGCTCTGTGTAGGCACTGGCTCCATGTCTCCATCTTTAATGAGTTGTGTAGGTGCTGACTTTACCAATGGGGCCTTGCTGTCAGTTTGCGGAGAGCAACCTATAGTCTTGGTAATAGCCTGGATTGTTTGGGGATTCCTGTGGACCCCCCTTTGACCAACAACTCAATTAGATTAACCCAATACTGGTACTAAAAGCTTTGTCTGGTGATGAGATGGCCAATTAGAACTTTAACCCCCCCTTCATTATTTAGCAATTTCATTGAGATCATCGTCATAGATGTATTTATTTTAGAAAATTTCTACCATATTTAGGTTTTCATATGCGGTAGTTTAAATGAAAATAGCCCCATGGGCTGGCTCATAGGGAGAGGCACTGTTAGGAGTTGTGGTGTTGGAATAGGTATTTGTTGGAGGAAGTGGGTTACTGATGGGGAGCTTTAAAGTCTCAGGAGCTTAAGCCAGGCCTGGTGACTCAATCCTTTCCTGCTGCCTGTGGGTCTCTCAGCTCCCTCACCAGTGACATGTCTGCCTGCATGCCACCACAATTCCCACCATGATTATAAAGGACTAAACCTCTGAACTGTAAGCTAGACCCAACTAAATGGTTGTTGGTTTTTTTTTAAGAGTGGATCATGCTGTGGTCACATTATTGGTGTGGTCATGGTATCTCTTCGTAGCAATAACACCCAAACCAAGACACCATTCTACCTCTTAAGTGCCCCTTAATTTTAGCTCTCTCTCACTGTTTTCCTCCCACAACCCTTTCTCCTCTGCCCTCCCCACTTGTTCCTCCTATTCTAGCCCCCTCCATATCCATCCATCTATAACTGTCTAGTTTATTTCCCGTTCCTAATGAGAGCTAGCTGTTCCCTTTCGTCCCTTACTCTATAGCCAACCCCTGTGGTTCTATGGATTGTAGCTTGGCTATCACTAACTTCATAACTGATTACCACGTATAACTGAATATATGCCACATTCATCTTTGTGAGTCTGGGATCTCGCACTCGGGATGATTTTCTTCTAGTTCCATCCATTAGCCAGAACATTCCATGATGTCATCTTTTAACAGCTGGGTAACATTCCATTGTGTAAATGGAATGTTTCTTTTATCCATTCTTCTGTTGAGGGACATTTAGGTTGTTTCTGATGTTTGGCTATTTATGAATGGAGCAGAAAATTCAAGACCCATTTGGGGTATAGACTAAGTTCAAGGCCAGTCTCGGCAACTTACCTTACTCTCTCTCAAAATAAAAAGGAAGGAGGGTTCTAAGGACTATACCTCAGGATAGAGACCTTGTATATGGCATGTGGGGACCTATTCAATCCCAGAAAAAATGTACAAAATAAATAATTAAAACAAACAAAGAATCTATTGTAGCTGTAGAAGCAGTGAGGTTTGCTAATGCGTAGATAGGAAGGACTCAAGTAAGACCTGGGATAGTAGACAGAAGGAAGGACTGTTCTAGAAAGAATACAGGAAGTTCTTAGAGGGCTCAGGTCTCCGTGGAAGGAGGATGGGAAACTATCTCCCAGGAAGAAGGATAAAAAGGAAGGGGTATGTTGATAACACGGCAGAGGTACCTCAAAGGCCCGCCTCCTCCTGCATCTGTACTGTAGGCTGCTCCTGGTCTCAGGCCACGGAGGACATTTGTATCTTAACTCCACATCCTTTCTCCACGGCGTGTCTAAGGCCAAATGGAGGTGCTACATCTCCTGATACAATATGGAGCCAGGCCCTGCTTGGTAACCGACGTGGGCTGGACCGCAGCTCACTTTGCGGCTGAGTCCGGCCATCTGAACGTCCTCAAGACTCTGCACGCACTGCCCGCTGCCATTGATGCTGCCGACTTCTTCGGAGATACACCCAAGAGGATCGCGCAGATCTATGGACAGAAAGCCTGTGTGGACTTCCTGGAGAAGTGAGTACTGAAAACGAAACAAAGAGATATAACCCAGTGGTTCTCAACCTTCCTAATGCTTTGATCCTTTAATACAGTTCCTCATGTTGTGGTGACTCCCAACCATAAAATTCTTCATTACTACTTCATAACTGTAACTTTGCAACTATTATAAACTGTAATATAAATATCTGATATGCAGGATACATGACCCCAAAAGAGTCATGATCTACAGCTTGAGAAACACTGGACCGATTGACCGGAATCATAATTTTTTAGATTTTATGTGTATGAGTATTTTGCCTGGATGTATGTATGTGCACTGTGTGAAGCTAAAAGTGGGTGCCAGATCCCCTGGAACTGGAGCTACCAACTGCTGTAAGCAGCCATATGGGCTTCTAGAGGCACTGCTTTTAACAGGACGAGTTATCTTTTTAGTCCCTATAATAAGTTTCAAAATTGATTTTATGATTTTTTTTATAAGAATGACAACTTGAAAGTGAAAAGTACATTGACTTTTTTTTGCTTTCGGTCATACAAAAATTATCTCTAATAAGGACTGGATGTTAAGTCTGGGCCACGGCCTAAGCTTCATGGCCACTCTCAGGTTTTTGAAAGGTACTGCAGCTAGCTGTGTGCTTCTGTAGAGATAAGCCAGCCTCCTGACCCTCAGTTTCTTCACACTGACAGTGCAGCAGGGGCTGCGGAGATGGTTCAGGCAGGGAGGTGCTTGCCACACAAACAAGAGGGCCTAAGATCGGATCATCAAGACCCAGGTAAAACTAGTCAAGATGGCCTCACCGGTGGCTCCAGTGTGAGTGTTCAGAGACCGAAGGATCCCAGGACAGCCAATCTAAGCAGAACTGCAAACTGTAAATGTAGTGAGATGTTCTGTATCAAAACATTGGGAGATAATTCACTTCATTGGCCTCCTGCCTCTGTATACACATGCACACACACGCACACAAACACACACAGATATCACACACACACACACACACACATGCACACACCATGAGGCAAATGAATCTAGACTTCTGTTTCTTAACACCTGTCTCCATTCATGTACGACTCCCCTGGCATGACTAGACCTTGTCAAACATTTATTCATTTATTTATTAATAAGCAGCTGAATATAATTGAGGGCTAATTCTGTTCTCTGCAGTTATAGCCCTGAGAGGAATGGAAATGAGATGTATGAATCTATAATTTGGGTCAATAAGGGATTCATACAAGGAGACGTTGGATAGCCTGGTCTGGCCATGGTCGCATGGGAAGGAGATGATTTGGACAGAAGCCCTAGAAGTAAAGCCAGTTTGTGGTAGAGAACAGTGACAGGGGGCTGTCTCCTGTGAGCTTCAAATGTGTTACTGTCAAAATGTTAAATTAGCAAAGGGTGGTGGCTTAGGCCTACGGTGGCAGCTGCTCAAGGGGCTGAGCCACAGAAATTGCCAATGTGGGGCCTGCCTGACCTAGCATCCCCAGCCGTATATGGATCTCTTGATTAAACCGGGTTTCAGCACCAGATCTATAAAGTGAGGACAGGAATACTCCAAGGTATGGTTGGAGAGAAGGTTTTCATTGTGGATCTGAGGGAGAGTATCGCCAGAGGCTTTCCAATGCAAAGGAATTGACTAAACATGGCCAGGAGAATGGACTGGGCCATGAGACAAAAGTAAGAGAGAAAGAGAGGGGAGAGGAACAGTAAAGAGGAGAGAGGTTCAAGAGGACCAAGAGCCAGGAGTGGGCCAAGAGACAACACGGCTAGAATTGCAGGCTGTATAGGAATGAGAAACTGGGTGAAAGGATGCCCTTGAGCTGGAGACATTTAGGGTAGGGGTGGGATGAGAAGGGCTGAGAAGCTCCAGAACGCCAGCATGGACTTTGTAACAAGTATTTATAATGTTGAGAGAGCCTGGAGACCATGCTGTTTGGTATGCTAACCACAGTTAGCCATTTGTCCCAGTTTGGTTTTTTGTTTGTTTATTTTTTGTTTTGTTTTTCTTGGGGGAGGGGGCTGCCATTTCTGCACTCTCTACTCCTAGGCTTTGACTCTTTACTCTTGGGCTTCACATAAATATCCAGAAACAAGTAAGTGAGCGTTGGCAGGGAACTAGAGACATCTGCTTCTATCTAAGGCCACCTCAGCTGTCTCTGAGGCATCAGGAAGGAGCACGCTTTTTAACAGCTCCCCATGCTTGTACTTCAGGGTCTTACAAATCCCCACATCAGCTCACTCTGGCCTTCCCATCTTTCTGTGTCATGGTGTTCCTCCAGCTAGAGCAGTGGTTCTTACCCTTCCTAATGCTGTGGCCTGTAAATGCTGCTCCTCATGTTGTGGTGACCCAACCATAAGATTATTTTTGTTGCTACTTCATAACAGTAATTTTCCTACATTATGAATTGGAATGTAGATATCTTAAGTCTTAGGCAACCCCTATGAAAGGGTTGTTCAGCCCCTCAAGGGGTCACAACCCACAGATTGAGAACCACTGATCTAAAATCTTCATATCTTTTATGTTATTCTTTACTTAGTCTTCACTTCCTCCTGTATTGTTCGTTGCTTCTACCCCTTCCCCCCTCCTTTTTGGTCTGTGAACACGTTTAAGTAGGCATTATTAAACAATTTAACTTCTCCCCTAGGGCCCTGAACTACTCCCGAGTTCATCTATGGAACCGGTCCTCCTTCCTCATCTCTCGCTCCCCCTTTGGAGATCTTCCCCATCTTTGTATGGGTACATTTCTCATACAAGTAACCATAAAGGTCCTGTTGCTAATACAATGTTCCCTTCTCCATTCGTAATCTTTCATGAATTTCCCTTCTTCCCTCCCTCCCTCCCTCCTTCCCTCCCTCCCTCCCCTTCCCTTCTTTTTTCCTCCCTCAGCTCTCCTTCCTCCCTCCCTCCTTTCTTCCCTTCTTTTCTCCTTCCTTAACTCCCCTTTCTCCCTCCCTCCCTCTTTTCCATCCTCCCTCCCTCCCTTCCCCTCCCTCCCTTTCATCCTTCCTCCCTTCCTTCCCCTCCCTCCCTCCTTCCCTCCCTCTCTTCCTTCCCCTCCCTCCCTTCCATCCTCCCTCCCTCCCTTCTCTCCCTTCCATCTTGTCACAGCCTCACTCAGCTTGGTGTCCCTTTCCCAGGGGCTAGTATTAGAGCCAGGCACCATCATGCCCAGGTTCTCGGTATTTATCCTTATGTGCCTTTCAAATGCTAGAATTCCCCAGAGTCTTATCCTTGACTTTCTATGGATTTTTTTTTTTCTGAGCAATCTTACCCCATCCTTAGTGACCAGATGCACACGACATTTGGTCCAGCAGAACGAAAATGCAGCAGGCACTGCTGTGGGCATCAGGCAGGCAATGCTGAGCAGACAAAAACGTCAGCTGCAGCCGGGCGGTGGTGGCGCATGCCTGTAATCCCAGCACTCGGGAGGCAGAGGCAGGCGGATCTCTGTGAGTTCGAGACCAGCCTGGTCTACAAGAGCTAGTTCCAGGACAGGTTCCAAAACCACAGAGAAACCCTGTCTCAAAAAAACAAACAAACAAAAAAAAAAGTCAGCTGCATTATTTGTGAATCCCATATTCTCATCATTTCCCACCAGAAACTTCCTCCCCTTCCGATGTTAGAGGAGTTAGAGGGAAGAATTCAGGATGTAGGTATACTTAGTCTGGTCCTGCAAATACAGCGGAGCCCTGGCAGAGGGAGGAGAGAGAAAGCCTGCTGGGCTGGGTGCAGCTACCATATTGGAAATGTGCATAGGTAGAGTGTGCTTGAGAAGAAGGAGAGGGAGTGTGGAGGGAGGAGTGCCCTGACCGACAGGGTGATCACAGTCAGGACTTGTAGGCTAAAGCGGGTGGGCAGAGGACCATAGCTGCACAAGAAGCCAATGCTGAACTCATCATGGGATCCATGAGCTGAAACACATGGACTAGCAAAGTTGATCACACTATAGAGGATATGGCAGTGTGTATCCTATAGTGGGATTAGAGGGTTAGTGGGATTAGACAAGACCACTGGGTTCCTTCACAGTTCACACTGTGAGAAGGTGTGCGCTTAGGTTATTTTTACTTACTTTACCTAAACATACAGTCTTTGCAATTAACATTTTTCTTCTTGCACTTCCAATTTACTTGATTGATTGATTGATTGATTGATTGATTGATTGATGATTGATTGAGACGGGGTTTAACTCTGAAGCCCAGACTGGCTTGGAACTCACTGTACAACAGAAGCTGGCCTTGAACCTGCAGCAATCCTGCTGCCTCATTCTCCTGGGTGCTGGAATTGCACATGTGCTGTTGGGAGCAGTGAGACCCCAGATCCTGAATTTCTTGTAAACAACTTGTTTTCCCCTGATCTGAGTGCCTACAGCTGCTCTGAGCACGAGACCTTCAGGAGTTCCTGTTGGCAGGAGAGTGGTTTCTGGTGGGTTTGGCTGGGGCGTGGCTATCTCTAGATAATTTGTCCCTGAACACAATAAAGGGAGCATTCTTGGGGAATTCAAGGACGACCCGTGTCTCCGTCTGTCTGTTTGTTTGTGTATTTTAACCTCCAGCCCCCTTGCCCGAAGCTCATGAACTGGGTAATAGTGCACCGAACGCAGACAAAGGGGGCACGGTGGGCGGCAACATGCCAACCTACACTTTAAAATTTCAAACAACGAACATGTATGTCTTGCTTTTATAGTTGGAAAAATAGAATTAAAAGGAACAGCTTTCCCATGTTGTGAAGACTGTTCTGGAAATGTGGGCACTTTAACAGTGAGCAGCCCCTCCTCCCAGCTGTCTTTAAGTCGGAGATTTATCACACTCAGGCTGTACCAACCTTTTCCATCTTCAGGTAGTTCCTCTGGGGTCTGAGACCCAAGCTTTAGAAGGTTTAGAATGTAGAGTGTGCACTTGGACATATGTGAACTTGGCCTCCTTGCGTCTCAATTAGACCATGAATGGAATGACCTGCTCTGTGTGTAGTGCTCAGGAAGAAGGGTCAGTGTCAACCCTAGCTGGGTTCCTTCTCCCACACTCATAGGCTGTTCTCTTTGTAGGGCAGAACCAGAATGCCGGGACCACCGCCAGAGAGGGCTGTTGCTCGATGAACAGGACCCAGACTGGGACCTCAAGAAAAGGGAGCTAGAGCTGTCTCTTCCCGCCCCAGATCCAAACACCAACAAAAAGAATAAGAAAATCCGAGGCTCCACCAAGCTCAGCCATTCCAAGGCCTGGAGGTTATGAGAAGGGAAGCCTGGGGACAGACTCAGGCAGACCTAGGACCCAGCACGGAGCCAGAGTTGTTGCTAGGCTTCTTCATCTTGACGGGATTTGACTCAGTCACCCTTACCCAGGCTTCTACAGAAAGTCACAGCGAACCATTCAGTTGGAAAGTCTTTCCGCAGTGTTCTATCAGAGCCAATGTCTCGGTGCCAACCCAGAAGTTTGACCCTGAGTGGACCTGACAGCCAACAGCTGCTTGCATTTCGTTTTAGTGGAGTTTCAGCATGCCCCGCCCCTCACCTTCCGACACATCCCACATAGTTACAGAATGTTCAAGATCAAAGAAAGAGCTCTTCCAATGTAATTGATTAGTCTAGGGCAGAATAAAAAAAGTGAAATTAAAAACAAAACAAAACAAAACAAAACTTTTTAAAACTTCCCAATATGATGAATTCAATCCATGAATAAAATTATTTTTGGTCACAAAGACTAAGTAAAAGCAAACGCTCTCACAATGTTTAGCATTTCTTTCTTTCTTTCTTTGTGGGAGCCCACAGTGCCAGCATTGGCAAATTTTCCTATCATCCACCCACCTAGGAGCAATGGTATGTGCATGCGATGGACCCACTCGGGGTGAGACAACTGGAAAGCCTGGCATGAAGGGACTCTGCCCCACCTAACCGAGCGTTGGCAGAAAATGACGAAACATGGCTTTGTTGGTCTAGTTTTCCAGTTGTAGATTTTACAAAAGTTAGACCAGGTATTTTCAAGAAAAGTATAGCATCTATCAAAGTTTTCAAGACAGCACAAGAAAAGTTAATTGCCTTGTTATCAGCTTTTAATATTGATTTGCTGAAATATGTCAGATGTTTTAATGCCAGTAAAGATACTATTACAATTAATTTTACTATCTACTTTTTATTTTTAATTGTTTCTAAGTATGAAATTATATGGTGTGTTACACGCCATTGGGTTTTAACTCCAGGTTCTTTGTGAGTAGTGCTATGAGGACTCAGTGCCCTTCTCCCCAGAGAGTGATGAGTAACCAGACCAAGCAAGAGAATTGTCTTTATAATGGTTCTTTACTAGCAACTTCAATATCCAATGCATCCATGGGGTTTACAATCTTAACATACAAACAATTCAATATCACAATTATCAATCCTACTAATCCTAATACGTAAAAGCAATTTCTAACTTCCATTTGACATATCAATTATCTATAAAACACTTTGTAACCTCAAAACAACTTATCAATGAACATTTCCTAATCTTATCAATTATCCATAAAATATCTCTTAACATTTCACCCACTAAACACACGCATAACATTTCACACACCAAACATACATATTAACACATCTATGTTCTCCTCTTAACATTCACACACACATTAAATAGCATCATACAACCTGATATTCTTTTGTAGTCCTGAAAAGGACTTTTGGGTTTCTTCAGGCTGGATGCCTGATTGCACTCCCCTTAGTCTGTATTTGGGAGATAAGGCATTCGATGTCCTGGTCTTAGGCTGGTACTGGGTGCTGGATCAACTCTTGACCGAGTAGCCTGTGGTCTGGTGCTAGGAATGCAGGGCCTTTGGACTCTGCTTTTGGGTGACCAAGTCTCGGGAGACAAGGCTTTAGCTCTCGGGTAGCGAGGCTCTGCTTTTGGGATGACAGAGTCTCGGGAGACAAGGCTTTTGTAGGATCTGCTATGAGGCTTCAACAGTGTACCAGGGCCATCTTGATGGTGAGACGACTGTCTTTCTTTTGCTTCTCTTTTATATATACGTTAGTGAAAGCCCCCCCCCCCCCATGACCCACGTGCCTACATACTATGTTAAACTCTGCTGAAAATTTAGCTGGGCCCCGGGGCTCAGAGGATGCTAAAAATGGATATCTATGGGTTGCAGACTCACTGACTAGGCTAAGGAGAGGGATACTCCACCCCCAAGGCATTCTATCTAAATGCTCAACTTGCTGCAGAGTGCTATATCTAGCTTTGTGGTTTTTCGGGACTAAGGAGAAGGAATACTCTATCCCCCAAGATATCCTATCTAAACTGTCAACTCACTGCAGGGTGTTTTATCTGTCTATGGTTTTTTGGGGAAATTCGAGAATAGACATGGGGCCATTCCCAGGATGAGCTAAGCCCACCTATTTGAGAGCCAATGAAATGCTTGTACTATACTATCCTCTTATGTAATCATTTTTCCCTATAAATATGGTTGTTTGAGTTTGCCCGGGGTGTGCAGTTGGCGTAAGCTACTGTTGCACCCACAGGCGCCTGTGTAATCAATAAAGACACCTCTTGCTGATTGCATCTGTTGGCCTGAATTATTGAGACTGGGGGATTTCTTCCACCACCCTTGAAAACAAGGGTCTTTCATTTATAAACAACTTGTTTACTTGATTTCCAATAGCCAGGTGTCCTAGGCTATCGATATCCACTGGGCACAGAGGGATGAGGTCCCTCTCATGTCCATGTTTCTGGTAAACATGTTTACTCCAAGTCTGTATCCACTGGGCACAGAAGGATGAGGCCCCTCTTGTGTCTTACTGAAAAACATGTTTACCTTAAAATGACAAGGGTCTTTTTCCTACATGTTTTTCTTAACATTTTCTCTTAGTAATTTTCTACACCACACACAAGAAGAAATGCTTTTACACTATACCAAGTTGCACTCGTTCTTATTCTATAAATTTCCTGCTCCATCTACACTACAGATTTCCCTCTTTATTCATTCAGAAGGATCTGTTTCCATGTTCATTACAATGGTGTGTGGGTTTTTTTTTGCATTTATCACATTATTTTGGGGGGAGCATTACACATGCCAGTGTGTGTGTATGTGTGTGTGTGTGTGTGTGTGTGTGTGTGTGTGTGTGTGCTCTTGGGTGCCAGAGAACAACTTGTGGGAGTCCATTGTCTCTCTCCATTCTCCATCATCTGGGTCCTGGGAATTGTGGGGGCCAGCCATGATAAGCTAAGTCTGGGCAGGTCACCCCAAAAAAGCTCTTTACTTCCAACCATTATTAATATTCTTTTTTAAAAAATGCTGCAAGATCCCTGGCGACAGTAGGCAGCAGAAATGCTGTAAGTCCCAAATGGTGGTAGTGGGCCATGTGGTGGGAGGTAGCAGGCCCTGGGAGCAGCCAGTCCCGGGCAGAGATGGCTGCCAGTCCCCGAGCAGTGGCTGGTCTCAGGCAGGGAGACACATGGTGGGCAGGCAGGAGACAGAGACATGGATAGACACAACATGAAGAGTGAGGTTGAATATTTATTTGGGGGGTTATGAAGGTGGAAGGGAGAAGGGGGGCAGAGAGAGAGGGGGGGGCAAAAGAGACAGAGAAGGGGGAAGCAGAGAAGTGGGGAGAGAGGCAGAGGCGAAGCTGCCTCTCTGAGAGGAAGACAGGAAAGAGAGCAAGAGAGTGAGCTCAGGCCGGATTAGCCTGCCTCAGCTCAGCAGATGGGGGAGGGAGTGGGCGTGGCTTGTCTCTAAAAGAAACACTATCACTCTGGCCATCAGTGAATTTAAATGGAGTCTGGCGTCTCAATAGTTTACCCTGAGACAATACCTGGCTGCAAGACCGAGATTGCCCGACCCCCACCCAAGAGCAGACCATTCAAAGGAAATGCCTGGCATTGTAAGAGCTGTAGATAGAGACACCTCCCCAGCGAACCTCAACAGGACACCCCTAGACAAATGTTAGCCAATCAGGGGCCCTAAACCTCAGATACCCCCTCACTCCCACCTCTACTACTATAAAAACCCTTTCTAATTGAGCTCGGGGCTCTCCCGATATTCCAGTATGTTGGACACACAGAGAGACCAAGTTTGCAAACTTTATTAAAATAAAGGCTCTTTAATTTTACATACTGGACTCTTGGTTTCCTTTGATGGCTTTTGTGGGGACCCCATGGATTTGGGTATAAAAGGAATCAAACTCAGTGGTCAGGTTTGGTGGCAACTCAGGCTTGACCCATGGGTCTACCCCTTCTCTCAGGGTTCATCTTGAGAACAGTTTCTGGCCAGACATCTTGTTGCAATTTCTGGCTAAACATCCTGTTTATTCCGGTGGTTAACTACAGGGCCATTGTTTACTCCATTTTGGGTTTGGTAATTTCCCACCTGCGTGAGAGGAATTCCATTGTGTAGCGGCTAGGTATGTTGTTCCTAAACTCGAATAAACAGCACGAACTGTACCTTATAGAGTAATGCAGGCGTTACACACATCACCAACTCTGCCTTACTTTTTAAAGCTTATTGACATGTTTTTACGGCCCAACAAACCTCTCCACCAACAGCAATAATCCAAATCAGAACAAATCAAACCAAATTAGAAAAAGCCCAGGTTTAATGGATGCCAACGCTCCCAGGGGGCCTTCCAGGCTCCCCAGGGATGGAGGCAGAAAGGAAGACTGAAAATCCACAGAGTGGGGGAAGGAGAACCATAAATAGCCTGTGGTCATAGTCTTGACCCTCTCTGGGGAGGGGTCACTGTTTGGCAGGCTTTCTCCAAGTCTGGACCGCAGCAACTCCCAGCAGGAGGAGGCTTAGGGTGGAATTTTCCACTCAATCATTCCAGACCCCTTGGGTATAAGAATGTCAATGGCTGGGGTGAAGCTTCCAATCAAACACTTGTGTCTACTAGAATGTTTAAAAATCCCTATGTGGCTAACATTTAATTTTTGTTGGCCCTGCTATAGAATTCAGACATTTGCAGCTTTTCCTTAAGAGATAATGCTGGCATATTTTATACTAATGGCCAGCTCCACCGTCTTTTAGGTTCGTTAATTTATTTGCATGAATCAGTAGCCTTAGCTATTACTACACAATCTTATACGTGTTCCCACTTCTGGACCTGGGAGAGTACACCCTCATGCCAAACTTGAAGAAGAGAAATCAGAAACCTCCCACCACTTCGAATCATGTGACCCTTGGACAACTTTGTACCATAAGGTCACGATTGGAAACAATGCCTCCAGTTGGGTGTACTGGATTCTTATCCTTGGCTGGTCACACAGCAACACTTCTTTGACCTTATCTAACATGTATGTCTGTAGGGCTAATATTCAAGACTATTGATCCACAACCCTCATCCCACCCCTTTTAATGCTGAGTCCGGGAAATTACACAGTCATGTGATTCCGGACTTTCTTATCAGTTGCCACTGAAGAATCTGTCACAGCAAATTACCTTCCACTGAGAAGTCAAGTTACCCATGATGCAGTGTGCTCTGGAGTCTCCTGTGACATTAGAAGCAATGTTCAGTGGAGTTTAGGAGTCTTCCTCCTCATCAGAAAAGTCACTGGAACTGCATGGCGAGGAGCGAGACTTTCCTTTTTTGTTAGGTTTTATGGCTTCAATGAAATGTCATTGAATGTGACATGTCCTAAAACAGTCTCGCTGTACTTAATACATTTGGGAAGCATACATAGTTGCACAAACATTGCGTGATCTTGTTTTAAGACATTTCTATCATCCCAGAGAAGCCATCTGCTTGTTAGTAGTCGCTCCCCATCCCCTAGCCCTGGCAGTCACAAGTCTACTGTCTGTCTCCATGGAACTGCCATTTCTACACATTCCGTGCAGATCAGTGAGCGAAGGGACAAAAACACCTCCATTTCTCATTTCCCCAACAAGGCACTTAGCGAGGATGTCCTGAGCAGTTCTTCTGGGCAGGAACCCTGCTAGGTGCTCGGCACTTGTCCTGAGGTGAGCAAAGCAGCCACACTCCACGGGGAAGGCAAGAAGAGCCAGGTGTGGAGGTGTATTCCTGTAAGCCTGGCACTTGGGAGGTGGAGGGGGGGGGATTAGGAGTTCCAGATCATCATTAGCTCCATAGCAAGTTCAATGCCAGTCTAGACCACAGGAGACAAGGAAGGAAGGAAGGAAGGAAGGAAGGAAGGAAGGAAGGAAGGAAGGAAGGAAGGAAGGAAGGAAGGAGAGATGGAGGGAGGAAGGGAGGAAGGGGGAAGGAAAGAAAAGAAAGGAAGTGCGAAGGAAAGGAAAGGGAAGGGGAGGGAAAGGAAGGAAAAGAAAAGAAAGGAAGGGAAGCCCAGTATTTTGTGGAGCTCTTCTCTGAAGCTCACAGATATCTGAAGAAGTCAGAGGACCTAGGAGACCTCTAGGAGGAAGAACACTCCAAACCAGATATCTACCCCAGAGAGACCCAGACCCACACTGCGGCCTGAGGCTGATAGACCAGAGCTGCTCTGGCAGTGGTACAGCAAAATGTTTGTGAGGTGGTTCAGGAACGCCAGGGGATGGGATGACCCGGGAAGTGAGCAAACACAGGTCGCAAATGCCCTGAATGGGGCCCCTAGGATGCTTCTGACAGGCTTTCTGGAGGATTGCTTGTGACGTGGGGACATTACAAACACGCTGGGACAGGGCAAACGTGCGAACAGGGAGGGCAATTACAGACATAGCTGAAGTGACTGAGGTGAGTGATACAGCACGGAGCAGCCCAGCTGTCAACCCTGTGAAGCCTCAACGGTGAGATCTTGTCTAGGAGGAGTCTGGTCTTAGGAAAATGACTCAGTAGCTCTAAATTGCTTGTCTGTGAGTTCTCCTGTTAGAGAATTAGGAAGAAGAGCAGTACTTTCCTCTAGAGCAGTGGTTTTCCACCTTCCTAATGCTGTGAGCCTTTAATACAGCTCCCCATGCTGTGGTGACATCCAATGGTAAAATCATTTTCATTGCTACTACATAAGTGCAATTTTGCTACTGTTAGGAATGTAAATATCCATGTTTTCCAACGGTCTTAGGCGACCCTTGTAAAAAGGTTGCTTGGCCCCCAAGGGGTCACAGCTCACAGGTTAAGAACCACTAGTCTAGGGGTTGTGTATGTGTTCGTGTGTATATTGTGTAACTATTTGTGCAGTGCACATATGTGTGCAGATGTCCATGCATGTATATAGGTATGCAGAAGCCAGAAATCAATCTCAACTCTTGCTCTTCACCGTCAACCATGTTTAATCACACAGGATCTCTCACTGACCCTCAAACGTGCTACTTCAGTGAGACTGCTCTGGAGCAAGTCCCCGATTTACCTGCCCCAGCACTGAAGTTACACGCATATGCCGCCACACCTGCTCTTTAGTGTCTGAAAGTTAAACTCCAGTCCTCATGCTTGCTTGGTCAGCACTGAGTCATCTCTCCAGCCTTCCCTGGGGTTATGACTGTAACAGCAAAGTGAGAGAGGCTTCTGTGTCATTTCACACCATACAAGGCACAGGACCCACGCCTGCAAATGTGAGCTATTGAGTGGTTGGACCCCTCCATGTTCCGCTCTACTCAATACATGTAAGTG